TAGACCCCTGCGTTGAGTCATTGCCCCCCCCCCCCCCCCCGTCGTAAACCAAAAAGTATAAACTGGTTTGGCTTAAGGTGAGGTTTGACATATCGAAATTTTTCTTGCATCCCTCTACTAGGAAAAAAGTTACGATTGGGGAAGCGTTTCACCAAAGACTTTTGACCGCTACTGTATGTTGAAAAAAAAGGGAAGCGCCTGGTTTTTGGGTTTCGAACATGTTTCTCCCTAGCCTAGTCGAAAAGCGTTACTGATAACATAACGTAAGGCCTGGAGTCTGCTATACACTATATATTCACAGGGCTATTCTTCATCCTAAAATCTATCGATCTATCGATCATTGGAGACAATTCTTGAAAAGATTACAGATAACAGGCAAGTCGTGCAATATAACTTGTTTTGACATGCTATTTTCTTAACTGCTATTGTTTCGCCGCAGTACGTGATTCGAAAGTCTCACAACGTCGGTAAGGCATGGACCCCTCCCCACATACTTGTGCTATCCGAGCGTGTGCTCTTATCCCTTATGCATGGAGACCCCACTTGCCCACACCTCCTGAATGGTTTTATGCCATAGCTTATCAGCACACACACAACAACGTTTTGAGCCGCTCAGCAATATCAGCACTGAACCGCTAAGCTGTATGCTTCACTTGATACTACTTGTTTCAGCTTAATAATTTGTTAACTGCTGTTATTTCGCCGCAGTACGCGATTTGAAAGTCTCACAAGGATAACGAGTCGTAGACAATCTCGGACGAGCCTCAAACTCGTACTTGTGGGCTATGCAGCATGGTGACGGGACAGCCAAGTACGGGTTCGAGTCGCGTCCGAAGCCGAAGTTTTGCCATCGAATCCCCAACCTTGTGAGTTGTGCGCTTGCTGCCAACATCTGCGTCTCATCTGTGTCTCCTTTCTTGTTCCCCACTCTGTGGAATACCTACTGGAAGCGTAATTTCAGCACTAACGCAAAAATTTGTTGAATTCCATTCGACAATGCGTAAGGGGAACGTGAGGTTTTAACGATAAGACTCGTAAGCAGCCTCGCCTAACTATGACGGAACCGGGTAACTCTCCACTAACGAAAATAGCGAGTCGGAATTCAAAAGCGAGGGTTGAAGACACATCAGATCTGTCCTGCTTCCGATGGCAGGCGAACTCGTGGGCATAGCGTCTGAAGAGATCAAAGTGGAAGTACCGACGTTCTCCAATGTCTTTCGAGTTGCAGTGACGGGCGAAAGTNCGGAACCGGGTAACTCTCCACTAACGAAAATAGCGAGTCGGAATTCAAAAGCGAGGGTTGAAGACACATCAGATCTGTCCTGCTTCCAATGGCAGGCGATCTCGTGGGCATAGCGTCTGAAGAGATCAAAGTGGAAGTACCGACGTTCTCCAATGTCTTTCGAGTTGCAGTGACGGGCGAAAGTTCGAGTGTTGCGCATGCTTCTCCAGGTTAGGCGACTCCACCTAAACCTGCTGCTTCGTTAATGCGTCTCTACATAAAATCTCAAGCACAAGCGCTAGTTATTGAATATTGCAGCTCGCCAGCGACTTGTTTCCATGTCCATCGCTCATGACAACTCTTTTAAGTTTGCGGGTAGCCTTGAATGACGTTTGATTAGGTGAACTTCCACGAACTTCAGCCCCACTACTTCCATTCTGTTCCGCGAAGCTTGACGTGAGCCCTTTAGCTTTTCGTCAGCAGTTCATTTTAGCGTTGGACCTATTAAAGGTAGCCCTGTGTGAAGTGAAATGTTTTGAACTTATCGCGTTCCCCATGGAATGCTTGTGGTTCATCCTCGACACAGCTTGATCATAACGAGCTGTGTCGAGTAGTATGACGAGAAATTTCGGATAGGACAGTACGACTTCAACAGCGAATGTCCTCGTACGGGTTGCTAGGCTTCTCTACCCGAAATGAAGAAAATTTGTAGCTGATAGGAGATAGAAGAGTAAGGACGTGAAATTTCAGGATAAGTGGCTCTGGCGAGTTGTGAGCAACGGTCGGGAGATCTACGGTCCGCATCTGATCTCGAATGTTTTTCCTGACCTACCAGAGAAAATCGACGCTGCAGTGGAAATCCGTGGAGAAATATGGATTTTTTCCGGTAGTGGAGAAAATGAACGGATGTTAAACGAGACTGCACTCCGTTTTTTGTTCTTATTATTATTCAGCAGCAGGTTTTGCCATGAGTCTAGGGACGGCATTCACATCAGGTAACTATGAGACAGCATTTCAGGAAATAGGTACTGGATATTCTCAGAACGACGCCTTATAAGTGGTCCTCAGCCGCTTAGCAGCTTAGGTCTCCCTGAGAACCTTCAACGAATTCGTCTCGCCTACCAGTGGCATTATTTCAAGTATGTTTTTTGAACGAAATTCATGCCATTGAAACGATCTCCACTTCAAAACCCATCTGTTTGTACTTTGTAAACAGGAAAATATAATTCAGCCCTCCAGCGACTTATCTTTGGGCTGAACGGGACTACTGGAAATTTGACGTGAAGTCACGACGGGTCGAACGTTCATATGCTCGTCGTATTAGCTTGAACTGGAAGCATGTACCGCAGAACGCTACGGCAGCCTTCAGCCGCGACAAAGGTATCTTTGAATTGGTGACAATTGTGCCTTGCTCAGCAAACGTTCACATAAATTGGTTCTTGGTGCAGAACGGCTTGTGAAATGGTACAACTGACAATCGTTGCACCCTCCAATCATGATGTTCAGCACACACGGTTCCAAAGAACCCTACTGTGATGGCTTTCAACGATAGTGATCCAAATCTTAATTGAGCAATAGTGAGGTAGTCGCACTGAAACCAGTGGTTTAACTGGCAGGGGGCTGGAACTTGGGATCTAGATATCAAGTAAGTGAAGCCTCAAGATAGAAGGCTTATGATTCGAAAACGCGGCCTCTCGTATGAGCACTGAGTAGAGAGCTCTGGTCCATTTCCGCTAAATGGCCTTCTGAGTCCCAAAAAAATAGTTAAAATGATTTTGCCAGAATTGCCGTTTTAACCCACTAAGCGTCGTTTGTTTCATTCAAGGCGTCGACTGTCCACACAGTAGAAGGCGCCAGTGGACTGCGCATTGAAAATAATGTGAGCGGTAGCCAAAAAAGGGAGGCAGATGTTGAAACATGTTGAAAAGTGCGGGGAAGTTTCATATGTGCTTTCCAAGGTTAAGCTAGATAGCAATGTAGACCTCGAGTTGGGGCGCCTAGGTTGGGTTGTTGGTTCTGATCCGCGAGGCTTTCCCGTTTTTGCATTTTATGCTGCCACCTCCAGATTGGCTCCGTATTGCACCAGGGCCAAAGCGATGAGCCAGAGAGGCGCAGGGAGACGACTAGGTTGGCTTGGCCGGCCACCTAGTCGTATTCCATCCACAGGCGTACTTGGTACCAGCGCCACTGCACTGCACAATGCATTCCTCCGCATCTCGTTCACTCCTACGACTGATACCTGCTAAGGTAAAATTAGTGGCCTGTTTGTATGTACATTGGTCTTTAACGTTATAACTACACCGGAACCTGTTTGAACCGAATAACCGAAATAACCGGATATCAGTGGAGCATAAATGGCTACTGTGTTAGAATTTCGCAGAGCAACTACTCCGTTGTTTTGTTTCTCATCTACAAATGCTTTTTTTGTGGGAGGCAACGCGAGATGTCCGAATCAAATTGGAAAATTTTCGTTATCGATTCTTCTGAAGAAAGCGTCGGAGACACACGGGACAGCATAAATTGCTCATTGGTTCCGGTCCCGACGATAATCCCGAGGTGTCTGAAGAGCGAACGATATTCGGTTCCGCAAATGACATTCGGTTTCACACAGGTTTCGGTGTAGGAGGTCGTATTGGCACGGCGTTCGCGTTTTTAGTCGGTGCCATCTTTCGAGATGGACAGCGTTTCAACGAGCGACTTCTCAGACGTGCCAAAGGACGCGGCCATGGGCCGTAGGAGGCAGCACTTGTTCGTCTTTCGGTGCATCTGACGCGGAAGAGCTAGAAGAAGTATTAGTCGAAGGAGTGAACGAGTTGTGGAGGAATGCATTGTGCGGTGCGGTGACGCTGGTACCAAGTACGCCTGTGTATCGAATACGACTAGGGCCGGCCTAGTCGTCCCCCTGCACCTCTCTGGCTCATTGCTTTGGCTGGCCCTGCTGCAATATGGAGCCAATCTGGAGATGGCAGCATAAATTGCAAAAATGGCAAAGCCTTGTGGATGCGAACCATCAATCCAGCCTAGTCGCCCCAACTCGAGGTCTACATTGCTATCCACCACACCATCCGTCGCTAACAGCAACTTAAAGGCACTGTTAACGAAAAAGTGTTTCGGAGATTTGCACATGGTTTGAATTCGAAGCCATCTCTGGTACCATTTGTGCAGGAATAAGGTCGGAAAACGGCTGGATAGGGCACAATAACGGGCCGGAGAGATATCCACGGTCGCCCTCCGCCCCTCCATCGGTGTCACGTTAGACGAGTGTCGAGTCAACATGGATTGCTATTATTCGTTCTAGGACCCACGCACAAACAGCTAACCGCCAGTGATGAGGCGATGTTTTTCTCCCACTCTTTTTTCCTCTGTTTTTCTTTTTGCTGCCGCGATCCCTTATTTAATTTCCTAGTCCTAGAGGCTGAAAAAGGTGAGCTACTTTTGCTGTTACTAAGGTTTTTTGTTTATTCATGCTTATAAGTGAATGAATTGTGAATTACCATTGTCTGTTATTCGCACCAGGACCCACACGCGCGCAGTGAGACGCACTGTTTAGCTCGTCCGGGCGCCCCACCTTCTTCATTTTTCTGATTTCATCCACGTCCAGCCCCCTTTTTAACGTTTTTTCGAGGCCCTTTTTCACTGTGAAAACACCGGTGCACGCAGTTTCTTCACCTCAGTCGCACTAGTTTCGATCTTGTCTTTCGTTTTTCATTGTAATCTGGATTATCCAAAATCATGTTAACGGTGCCTTTAACCGTGAAGAGCACATAGAAACTTTCCTGCCCTTTTCGACATGTTTCAACAAGTGCTCCCTTTTTTGGCTACCGTTCACATTATTTTCAATGCGCAGTCCACTGGCGCCTTCTACTGTGTGGACAGTCGANNACAAAATCATTTTCACTCCTTTTTTGGCATTGAGAAGGCCATTTAGCGGAAATGGACCATAGTTCTATACTCAGTGCTCATGCCCCTATACCATGCAAAAACCATTTTCAAAAAGCGTCTCACGCCTTGAAAGACCTTCCTTGTCAGGGCTTCCTAGACATCTCTAGTCGGAATACAAGGTGCTCTAGTAAACCTTATCTTGCAACAGTATGAGGCTCCAATGCATGTCAATGTGCTTTAACGTTTCAATTACATCAAATACCATGTCCAATCTGAGAGAGTAATCCAACACTAATCCTTCGATTTGTTTCAGAACTATACTTCATGCAAGGTGACTTGGTCTATAAGATGAACACAACTGACTATCGATTACCTGTGGCCACAGGATACCCAGTACCGATCTCGAAGTATTGGCCATTTTGCAGGAGACAGAATGAGTCCATGCATTTCGCGGCTAAACAAACGAATTCCGCGACCTGTATCTCCATAGCAGTTGTTCTTTTCGGAGCTTTCCTCACTTTTTCTTCATGAAACTGCTTTTTCGATGCTTTCATCGTGAGCAACGAACTCCTTTGTCACAGGTTTCCTTCCCAAAGCGAATGAAAAGTAACCCAGCACACAGCGCACGCTCCACTATTCTTCGATCAACGACATCATTCTTTTTAAAAATGACATGTCATGGCTCGATTATCTACTTTTGTTTACCATTTCGCTTTATGATTGTGGCTGAACAGCTGAACCTACACCAAGAAGAATGAATGGCGAGTTTTGCACATCAGCTATCTCAATAGTTTTGCGCCGTAGCTTCCTCGTCCGTCTAGGAACCAACCCGGTGCTCCTCAACATTGTTGAGCTTGTCCACGTCCCCTCTTCTTTCCAGAAGAACCTGTCCAACCATTTCCACTAACAAGCCAAATTAAGTATTGCTTTTAAAAGTGTTACTGCGTTACTAAAGTATAGCTACAATGTAGAGAAAATTCGCCGCAGCCTTACGGGTAGTGTTCAAGGGAGAGAGAGAGGAATTAGTTTGAGTAGACTTCAGGTTTTCTTAACTTCCGAGTCAAAAAACTTTAAATGATTAGTGTTTCAAGTCAGCTCAAACTTATTTCACTCCCTCAACACCTGCAGAGCTTCCTTTCAAATCACCCCCGCCCATTAAAATTAAGCGACTACGGTACAAAAATGAGTAGCCGAAGCGTAAAACTCCTTCGTTTGTGATCTCGAACTTTGTCCTTGTTGTAACCTCATAATTACGACGTTGATATTCTTGTACCTTGTGTCGTTCTCACTCTTCTATTGACCTTCCCCATTGTAGGTTTAAGAGGATGCGATACAAGGCAAAAGACTCGAGCGTGCAGACGGGCAGTTGAATCGGTTCTGCGTAATCGCCGCAGTCGGCAGTCACTGACTAGTTGCCTTGTTATTGCAGTTCTAGCGTTCTTCATACAGCTCGATCGATATGCGATTTTTTGACTGGCTCTACTATCTTTTTTTGTCTTTTTCTTTTGTTTCCATACTTTTTATTCGCTGCGATGCTTCTGCTTGATTCTGCTACTTCATCGTGTACAACGTTGCTCTCCCCGCAAGTGACCATCTCGATTCAACTGCAACACACCCACTGGAGCGTCATGCCAAGCGGGTTGGAGCGCGCAGTGTTCCGGCAGATTCGAATTTGGAAACACTAGGTTCCAAATTTCGAGTTTACTTGTTCAATTAATTTTGCTGCTCCCACTAGTCACAACATGACCCACCTTCTGGGAAGGTCAGCTACCCTTTTTTTCAAAACTGAGGAGATCAGCAGTCAGAGAAATCGCTGACCTTTTCAACATCTTCAGGTTTGGTAATTTATTTCTTTTCTAGAAAGGACATGAGGGGTGATTGACAGAGAGTCGATTGCCAGGAAAACAGGGAGAATAGAGAACTGTATCCCAGCCTATATTCTCAAATTTTTCAAAGGTCTCTGCAGCTTCCCCCAAACAGCATCTGCTGGTTTCTGCAGCTGAACGGCGTAAATATTGCCAGTGACCGCTTGTTCTCGCGAGAGCACCTCGTTGTATAGCTCCTTCGCGAATCTCAGCAAGTCACAGGAGACACTTCTTGGAGCTGAAGCCCGATTTGGCTAGTGTCGGTGTGTTCTCTCCTCGGGAAGTTACATGGCAAGATGCGTGCTAGAATCGTAAAGAACCCGACCCTCATCTCCGGTGATTAGGTCTTCCGGAAATTTCTTCCAATGCGGACGGAGAAGGAGTAATTGACAAATGGTTACCCTGGTCAACCGCGCGCTTCCGGTCAGTACTTGTGAGGGTGCGAAATCGCGCGTGCCGAGCTTGAGACCACCTATGACAGCGTTGAAAACGGCTTAATCATCCACTTTGTATTATATGTACCTATAGTGTATACCTTGCTTCATATTAAAGAAGCAGTCAACGATAAACTTTGGGTATCTAGTTGCATACGGATAGTAATGGAAGTGTAAGTCCAGATAGAATTGAAGTAGAGAAGAAAACGAAAATCGGCGTATTCACAAAAATACAAGGCTTTGAAAAGTAGTAAAATCGGGGGTGAGGGGGTTGTAGAATTTGACAACGAATGTTGCACGGAGGGATAATCGGACGAGCTTGCGAATATGTGTGCTGTTGCGTTCAGTTCACAACACTGGGTTGCCTGCGTACAGCGTGTGCTTCCCGGTGCAAACATTGGAACCTCTACAACCTCTATAACTCCGTAAGAACTCACCATGGGCCGTCCCTCGACCCAACAGCGTTCCTTGTGCTATCCCTGGGAGTCTCAGATTCACACCACGCAGGAGTCGAATGTGCTTCGTTACGCATGTCCATTGAAACTAGGTCACGCCGCAGCCGTCGCGCGCGGCGCGTTAGCCCGCGATCTTTGACGGATGTCGCAATTGTGAGTGGGGCATACGATTTGCGCTCGCTCTACGACAGTAAGCTTTAAGAGAAGATAACATGGACTAGTGCAAATCGTTCGCTCCACTGACACTTAGTGGTACTGTCATCTCGAGATCGGAGTGGGCTGCGGTGCGCGCGAAGTGGGCGGGTGACCTAGTTGCGACGGCCGAGCGGAACGAACGTTTCCCAGGGGGAATCATAGAACATTTTTCCGTGAACTGCGCCTTCACGTGTAGTAAAGCATTTTCTCTGACATAAACTACCACAAGCTGAACGAGTTGATGCGGAACCACATAAAAATGGAAGCATTTGCCGCAGCAAATCCTGGGTGGTTTAGTCACCTCGAATGAATCTCAAATGAACACTTACTGGATCGCGCGCAAGTCTTCAAACGCTTTCCTTAACCGGAAACGAAATAGATCTTGGATGAGAACGCACTGACTCCGATACTTCCCTTGCCTTATCCTAACAGGGCCTCTCACACATCGTTCAAAATTGGGACGGAGTACGGTGGTGGCAGTGCCATCAGCGATCCCTCAGCGAATGTTGGTAAAATGTCCAATTCGCTGTGGTGGACCGGACTGCAGCAGATATGGCAAGCTTACCCGTAAATTGAAATGGCAGCGTTTCCGTCCTGGGCTTCCGTCCTTTCTTATACCTACCCCCTCAATCAATTTCTATTCTGTTTTTTTTTTCTGCCGCTACTGAACACATCGCCTGTCACTTCATTCATCAGTTTTTCAGTGTAACTTATTCTGTACATATCGTTATCTTGCCGCTGTTATTTTTTATTGTTCATTATTGAATAAACGAATGTTATATATAAGTTAACAACATGAAAGTTGCGGAGATCGAAGGCAGGTCGACTAAGAAATCATCAATGACCCATTTCAGCATCACGCATAGCGCTAAAATCGGTTGAGCCGTGGTCAGTGCTTGGTTGATAATTTTGTGGTTCGAATGTTTGGTTGGAATCGGAGTCAAAGCCAGTTTCAGAGAATCCTGTATTAGAATCATCGTTGATGTTGGCACCAAACCGTGCGAGTCGAGGAGCGTTCGGTGCTGTACCCGAATCTGCAAATAGTGTATAAACGAAATGGCGATAAACTCTAAACGAAAAACAATTCGGATCTTCTCCATTTGTTGAAAGGATTTACCTTGTGAATTCTCTTCTGTAGATTGTATAGTATTGCTGGCGTCCTCATCTATAGCAGGCTTCGTAATTTTTGGGGGAATGTTCATCTGGGCTGTCACTATAAAGGAAATAATTTGACTGTTAACCGTCGAACCTCAATAACGTGCCACAACAACTTGATGACAGCGAGATCCATTACGCAAATTCCGAATAATTCTGAACCTATTTTTGGTAATTCAGAAACTGATGCGATATATTTTATAATCATGTCATGCTTCAAAGTGTTTTTTGGCTTAATTATTAACTAGTCACATTCGCAAAAAAAAANNTCCCTGGTGAAGTACGTGCAAATCATGGAAAAGTAGAGGTGTTACAAAACTAGAAGAATACAAGAAGCAGTAAATGTTGAACAGAACGTCAATTCAAAAACATGGCATGTTTTGTCACATAGGCTCTTGTTCTACAAAAAAATGGGAATAAAAAAGTAACATACCAGGAACCCATTTTTGTATTTTGATCGCGGTATCTTTGATCAATACCCATTTCTTCTCCCACTTCCGAACTTTTTCTATAGAGCTTATGACTTTTCGCAACTCATCTTTTGTTCGATTTCTCGTTTCTGCACGGTGCGTTCGATTTGCTGAGTACATTCTAAATTGTTAAGTACAGGATGTGAAAAATGTAAGACTCGACAACAGTGAGTACACTTCACGATCTGTGGCAAAATAGTAGAGATGAAATTGAATGGAGAGAAGAATGGAGTGGTGATCTGGAATGGCTGTTCTGTAATTTAGAAAACAAAATCATATCAAACCAATGAAAATAAGAGCATAAATCGGTTTGTATAGTATATGTGTGTGTATATATGTGTACCAGTCGGATCGCCCGGCTAACGCCAAGCTCTCCTCCTTCTTGTGTCAAACACCCTATCCCGAGAAATGTTGAGCTGAATAATTTTATTCCCCTTTTCGAAGTTTATCGTCTAAGTTTTTTCCGTGTTTAGCTGAGTGAGGGTGTGAAACTGAAACAGAGCTCGAAATCCTTCTTTGATACAACAGAAATTGAAACCTTTCCTCTTTCTTCGATAGTTGTAGTAAG